TGGGGAAACTCTGGCCTTATACACTGGCAGCTGGGAGCTCAGCACAGTGAAGACATGGCGGTGGAATCAGTCTGATGGTCCTGGTGTTCTACCTGCACCATCCTGAGCTCCCTGATGCTTTACCCTCCTCGTCAGTAACCAGCAGTGGTGTACAGCACTGAAAATCCAGAACAGCAAGACAGCCCTACCCACATGGCCCCATCAGCTGCTATTGTCTGTACTTGACCATGCTTTGTCTCTTACTCTGGATTCAACTTTGTAGGCCATCTTTCTTCTAGGTCTACTCATGGATTGAGCTTGTTGGTCCATTATTAGTGCTTTGTTATATATGGACTAGATCAGTGATGGCCAAAGTTGGCTCTCCAGCTGTTTTTGGACTATAGCTCCCATCATCCCTAGCTAACAGGACCAGTGGTCAGGGATGATGGGAATTGTAGTCCAAAAAACAGCTGGAAGGCCAAGTTTGGCCATGCCTGGACTAGATGATCCTCTGGGTCCCTTCCAACTCTACAATACTATGAAAAGCTTGATAATGTTTTCTTATAGAAAGTGGCTTTGTTTCATGTTATAGTGATACATTGGATTGGACAAAGTGAATATTGTTTATATATAGCAGACAAATGGCAATACTTGCTGATTTTTATTTTTCTATCTTTCTCTTTTAACCTCTTTTCTACTCTTTTTTCTACTCCTTTCCTCACCACCTTTTCCCCTTTGTTTTTATTGTATTTAGATCAAAGTCTTAGTTCGGATTAAAAGGGGGGGGGATTTCATATTAAGCATTGTAGTTTTCTCTATAAACCCTAATAAAACTTATTTAAAAGAAAAGAAAAGGCTGAACATATATATATTATTGCCTCTAATGAGTCTGCCTAGGTCAGAGCTTTCCAAACTGTGTGTCGGGTGACACTTTAGTGTGTTGGCTGCAGTGTGTAGGTGTGTCGTACGATGTGTGTCCGCATCTCTTATAAGGGGTTAGCTTAACCTCCAGTTTGCTAGTAAAACTGTGTCGCAAAATGATGCATGTCTAAAAAGTGTGTCACCAACATGAAAAGTTTGGAAAGCTCTGGCCTAGATCATAGCTTCTAAGAGTCCCTGCTAATAGAGTATAAGAGTGCTGTCTGAACTTCCAAATACTTTCTAAAACTTGAAATTTGTAATGATGATGTTCAGAAGAGACGGTATTAAAGAACAAGACTCACCTCTCCAGGGAGGCAAGGATATTAGTCAAGGGTAAATTTGCTCTTTCCGGTCTGTGCTTTGATTTATCCAGGAATTAGGGTGCTGAACCTTGCTTTTTGCCATGCCTATGTATCATAACAGCAATTCTAGCTTTTTAAATACCCCTAGTTACTTCAGAGCCACATTAACAGTTACTTTTTATTAACTATCCACAGCTGTAGATGTTTCAATGCTGTTTTGGTGGCTGGGTTAACTAATGGGATAATCAATAAAGGATTTGAACAGAAACATCAATGGAAGTAAGGGTGAGAAGTCAAAATGTTAAGAGAATATTGTCTCGAAATTGAATTGAATTGAATTTGTTAAACTGTGTGGGAAATTAATAAAAATGTATGAAGTGGGGGGTGAACAGGTGAATTTGCATTGTGAGGCAGACGTAGCCTTTTCTTCCTTGATGCCATCCAGATGTTTTGGGCGCCAACTCCCTTATCCCAAGGACAGCACAGCCAATGGTCAGCGATGATGGGAGTTGTGATCCAACAACATCTGTGGAGCACTAGCTTGAGGAAGGCTGAGATCATTGAGGTTTGGTGACATTGCTCATAGGGGATACAGATTACGCTTGCTTGAGCAATGGAGAAACATGGAATAATTTCCTGCTGTAGTGCCAGAGCATTTCATGAATGGAGGGAAACACTGAGGTTCCCTAGAAATCCAGCTCTTTGTCTTCTGCGTTTTCTGAGAATGAGACCTTAATAGACTCATCTTGGATTTGCTTAATGTCTCTAGTGAAATAAAAGTGCTAATTCCATAATGGTTAGGAGTGGTGTTTTGTTGCTGCGTTTAACGTGGAAAAGAAACGACTCATTCTGCCTTCTTATCAATCCCTCCTTAACAAGGCAGTCTAATTACTGTGAAAAGAAGCAGGGACAGTTTGGGTAGGTTACAATTGCTTAATTGAGCAATCATCTGCACCAAAATGGTCCGAATAAACAAACGGCATTAGATCACGGTAACCTGAGTCTTTTTCATTAAAATTAATGAGAGGGAAAATGATTTATGAGTGAGGATACCAGACGGCTTGGACTAAGAAGGGTCAAATTAAGGAAAACAACAACAACTGCACAGGTCTTTGCTTTCAAAAATGTTTTCTAATTCCCATTTTAATTCCCTACCCCCAATCCACATCAAACATAGAGCACCCTTGGAAGAAAACCACAAGCTTTTCTTGAGTCTGAGATCTTTCTTTCTTTCTTTCTTTCTTTCTTTCTTTCTTTCTTTCTTTCTTTTATTTCTAGGTCATCTTTCAAGACAAAGCTCTCCCATGGCGGCTTACATAAAACCAAACACATAAAACTACAGCACCTTGTTTCAATAAAATGTGGTAATTTAAAACTGCAGTTAAAAAAGAATCTCACAATTCAAACCAACCCTCATATAAAACTAATTAAACCCCTGGAAAAACAATATAAAACCAGCCGCAATATAACCATTAAATAATCAGAAATTCAGCCCACCGTCTCAGCTAAAGGCAACTCGAAACAAATAGGTTTTCAAGGCTCTTTTAAATGCCAGAACTGCTGAAGCCAACAATATATACCCCTTAGGAAGGAATTTTACAAATCTTCATAACTGTGAGGGTGAAAAGCTTGCTTTTTCAATTAATAAATGCTGAAATTCCCAGGCATCCAAAACCTGCACCAGCCTTGATTATGATGGACTAATACAAGATATTGAGGTTTAGGGCACCACAGATCATAACTAGGTCTTGAAGGATTGAAATTCCACACAAGTAGGCATCAGACTTTCCCCAACACCATTTCTTCTAGAGTTGGGGTTCCTCAAGATTCCTCATCTCTTAGGGCCAAATTACAGGTTCCATTAAAACAGGGATATCCAACATGGTGCCTTCCAACTGTGGTGGACTATTTATTTATTCGATTTATATCCCATCCATCCTCCCAAAGGAACCCAGGACAACAAGCAACAAGTAATGAAACAATAAATAAATAAAAAATATTGAAAACATTTCCAATACAGAGATCTCAACTTAAAAGTCTTAGGAGGAAGTTCTTCAGCAGGCATGGAAAAGACAACCAAGATGGCACATTTCTAATATTCAAGGGGAGAGAATTCCAAAGGGGAGGTGCCATGACAAGAAAGGCCCGATTCCTACATTGTGTGGCTCATGCCTCCTCATAAGTTCGTATCTGCAGAAGGCCCTCACCTGCAAAGCACAATGATGGATTAGGTACATACACGGGGAGACAATCTTTCAGGTATCCTGGTCCCAAGCTGCACAATGCGTTATGCACCCAAAGCAACATTTTGGAGTTAGTCCACTCCCTAATTGGCTGCCAGTGTGATTATTTCAACAGGGGAGGTAATGCGTTGGCAATATCCTGCTCCAGTGAGCAGTTGAGTCACCACATTTTGCAACTGCTGCAGCTTCTGGACCAATCTCAAGCATGGCCAATGAACAGGGATGATGTAGTCAACATCATTGACTAGTGCTGCATTAAATGCTAATTTGTGTGTGTGTTTATACAATGGGGCTGGGATGGGGATCTGGAATGCAGAACAAATGGAGAGCCTGGTTTTTAAAAAACTATTTCTGCTATGCTACATTTCTGATTCCCCCCCCCCCGGCCGCTGCCCAATTTCTATTTACCCCATGAGTTAAGCTTCCATTAGTGCCTATAGAAGCTTTCCTTTCACCAATAATAATAGCTTTAGGTGCTTGTATGATTATGGAGTGGGGAAAAGGGTTAAAACCTCTCTGCCCACATACTATGGATCTGATCCCACCTCCATTTGCATGCTTCACACATTTCCTTAGTTTAGCACTACAGCAAATCTGATTACAGTCGTACTTTGGTTCTCAAATGCCTTGTGACTCAAAAGTTTTGGCACCCAAACGGCACAAACCCGGAAGTGGGTGTTCCAGTTTGAGAATGTTTTTTGGAGCCCGAATGGCTGACGTGGCTTCTGCGGCTTCCTATTGAGTGCAGGAAACTCCTGCAGCCACTCAGAAGTTGTGCCTTGGTTTTCGAATGTTCTCGGAAGTCAAACAGACTTCTGGAACGGATTCCATTTGAGGACCAAGGTACGACTGTACTGTTGCTGGAGGGGGTAGCATCAACTTGAGCTCATGCTGTTGCAGAACTTGATGGTGGGTTGGCTAGGAGCACTGCGGTGACACCCTAGGTGCATAAATCCTTGCATTCAATCTTGTACATGCTTCCTGGCAGACCCCAGGATTGGGCTGTTAATCTATTGAGAATATTGTATTTTCACAGAAATGGCAGGCCATGGTATTTATGTTTGCAATAATGAAAGCCTTTTTTGTCAGAATTTAATTACCATGTCTTTCAGGGAAAAAGAGTGCTAACTCTTCAAAGCCCTTAGGGAGTTTGCAAAATATATATTAAATGGAGAAAAATGCAGTTCGATAAATGGACTGGCCCTTTTCAGAAACTAATTACTTGACTATTGGTCAGATCTTTAGGTCATTCTCTATATTAGGTTTGTCCACACAGCATGAGATGATACAGAAGTCAGGTTGAGAAACTTACATCTCTGACAAGTCCCTTTCAGATTCTGATCTATCCACTACTCTGACCAAAACTCACCCTCCCTCTTACTTTTAAATGTAATTTTTCAATAGCAGTGGTATGTGGAAAATCAGCATGTAAAACTGTTCTGTGTTGGGTTGATCCCTTGATCCATCTTGTCCCTTATAGGATAGTCTAATAGCATCTCTCTAATGCAGGGGTGGGGAAGCTGTGGCCCTCCAGATGTTTCTGGAGCCAGAGCTCTAGAGGCACAATGGGTCAGTGCATCTGGCTGTTAACCAGAAGGTTGGTGGTTCAAGCCCACCCAGGGAAATCTCTTCTTTGGATATTTTGAAGCAGAGGTTAGATGGCCATCTGTCATGGATGTTTTAGCTGAGATTCCTGCATTGCAGGGAGTTGGACTAGCTGACCCCTGGGGTCCCTTCTAACACTACAATTCTATGATTGTATGAAATCAGTTTCAGTCATCATGGCCTGGGTGAGGGGAGCTGTAATTCAGCAGTTGTCCAGAATCTGGAGGGCTACTTCCCCCATGGATATTATTGGAAGCACTTCAAGTCAAAGCTGGGCACCAGGAAGTAGAATCTGTACCTTACCCTTCATTCAGTTTCTTGCACCAAAATTCTTCCTTCCTCCATTCTTATAAGCTTCATTCATAAGGACCGTCCGATTCACCTCGATCATTGAGATTCCCTGAAGGAGGTAATGCCTGGTGGTTCCCCATATCACAGAGGTTCAGTTGACAGTATGTATGAGCCATACATCTTAGAAAGGCCTCTATAATACATTTTTTTCTCTTTAACCAACCAGTATATATTGCTGTTTTACTGATGCTTTGTGTTTTTAATTATGTTTTACAGATATTTATTGATTTATTTTATTGTATCTATGTTGTAAGCTGACTTGATATATGCTATGAAAGTGCAGGTCATAAATATTCAAGTATGTCATCATCATCTCCATCACCATCATCATCACAGCATCGTGAAGGTGTTGAGTTTTTGAGACGCAGTGAACAAACTATCCAACATTCCCATGATATTCTAAACATTATGTGAATATTACACTTTATGGCATAGATACAGTCTGTAAAATGTGGTGTGCTGGAAATGGTGTCATAATAAGCATAACTGAAAAAATGTGATCTAAAGGTTGTTTAACCATCTGTAAAAGTTGAAATCTGTGGTTTTCCAGCTATTTTTACTTTTTAAATATCCCCAGTTGTTTACTTTCTCATCTAATGATCACTCGCAAAAAATCCATATTTGATTTAGCACCCCGCCATGGACAAACTGTCGGATGTCTTCCTTGGCTTAAAAGCACAAATTGTGAAGTCTTCTTGGGCAACTTTGAATGTAGTTCTTCACGTACATGTCCCACTTAGGTCAAAGGGGTCTGCTTCTGAGACATAATTCTGAATGGCTAATAGGATAAGAAAAGCATTCTGAAAATACACTTCATTACAAGCAGGAGAATTCCAATTATCATTATTATGTTTCTGTTGGAATGTTTCTTTTTTTGTAAGGACTTCTCTTCTCCCTCCCTGCCAAAAGGTAGATGTTTTGCAAACCACTTTGTTAACTGAATAATTATTTTACTTGCCAAGAAGACTGACAACTACCTCTCTTCCCATTTTTAGACACTAAAAATGCCCCCAGCTATTTACTTATTTATTCCAGAAATAATAATAAAAATAACTCAACACACACAAATGAATAAGAGAAGGGGGGGGGGGAGAGAATGATCATATATTTTATCCTGATTATCGTCTTCCAAAGCAACTACAGTGGTACCTCGGGTTACATACGCTTCAGGTTACAGACTCCGCTAACTCAGAAATAGTGCTTCAGGTTAAGAACTTTGCTTCAGGATGAGAACAGAAATCATGCTCTGGCGGCGCGGCAGCAGCAGGAGGCCCCATTAGCTAAAGTGGTGCTTCAGGTTAAGAACAGTTTCAGGTTAAGAAGGGACCTCTGGAACGAATTAAGTACTTAACCCGAGGTACCATTGTACTCTATTTCGAACTTAAAAATGGAAAGCGTAATGCTGGTGGTCAACGAAAGAGTTTTAAAGACTCTCTCAAGGCAAATCTTTAAAAATGTAATATAAGCACTGACAACTGGGAAACACTGGCTTGCAAGCACTCCAATTGGAAAATAGCCTTTACCAAAGGTGTCATGGACTTTGAAGACGCTCAAACTCAGGACGAAAGGGAGAAACACGCTAAGTAGAAGGCACGCTTGGCAAACCCTCACCATGATCAACTCCTGCCTGGAAACCAATGTCCCCACTGTGGAAGGACGTGTGGATCCAGAATTGGCCTCTACAGTCACTTACGGACTCACTGTTAAGACCATGTTCATGAAAGACAATCTTACTCGGTTATGAGTGATCGCCGAAGAAGATTTTATATATAAGGATGGTGATGTTCCCAGTAAAGTGTATGGTTCTTCCTTAACTTGCATCTTATTTCAGTATATTATTTTTAAAACCTTCATTTTTCAATAACTATTATGTTGTTACCATCTCACCTTTAACTTGACAGTGTTGGTTAATTTTACTACTACCATTACTACTACTACTACTACTACTACTAGGGCTGTGTACAGCAAAGTAGGACTGATAAGTGCTGAGGCTTGGGAAGGTGTGGTAATGGGTGAAGAGGACATTTCCACCTCAGTACTGAGGTTCCCTATCCCTGGGTTGCAACAACAAGACCCTGCAAAAGATGAGATGTAATTCATGCTTTCTAACTTCAGGGCACATCTCAAAGTGGAGAATAAAATGCAAGTGATTCATGCTCCCTCTTTAGTAAAGTGGTGCTTTTAACATAATGCACAAATTGAGCCCATGAAAAAGGAATTCTGTTGTTGCAAATAGTCGTGTCGAACCCTTGCCATTTGGCTTGTGGAAAGGTATGCATTCTATTTATCGCTTAAAGGATGGGCAGAGGAAGGACAGCATGACTCTGACTCTAAGCCTCTCCTTTTCTCTGAGCTGAATATGAGCTGTTCGTTACTTGCGTAATACAGAGCTACGTGGAAACGAGCCCTTTGTCTTAGTTCCAGCAATTTCCTAAAATTGGTCAGGGTGTAATTTCAGTGGGTGTTGTAATAGTGAACAACACGAACAACTGTGGAAATAACTCAGGCAAAACATTTGTTTGAATTAAAAAACCATTTTCTCGGGACTATTATCGGAATGAAAAATGGCTGTTTCTTGCATTACATGCTGCATTAACCATATTTGTTAAGCATTTTGGGGGGGTGGTGCAAAAATGTTAGCAGGCATTCATGCAGCCCATTCTTATGCGTGCTTCTATTGAGCTAGAGGTAACAGTGCCATCCTGTCCTGGAATGAGGATTGCTGGTTGGCTTAAGATCAATCATAGTCTGAACCCACTCATCTGCAGGGTATCATCTGCACTATGCATTTAAAGCAGTATGATACCAGTTTAAGAATTCTGGGAGCTGTAGTATGTTATGGGTGCTGAAAGCTGTTAATGGGGCCCCACAGAGCTACAATTCCCAGAGTTTCCTGTGAAGAGGAATAGGTTTTTAAACCACTCCTTCTGTCATACCTCAACTTTGCCTTGGTGGGCACTTGCTTTCTGCGTTATGGTTTTTGTAAATACAAAGTTAACGAATATAAGCACAACAATCAAAGATAGTACACATATAGCCCCTCTTTCTTCAACCATGGAATTCAAGGCAGCTTGTCCAGCAGACTGAAATGTGATCCAGGTACTGCCCAGATATCCTATTTAGGTTCAGCATAGCTGCCGCATCATATGCCTCCAGCCCTTGCCATAAGACCATCTAAATCCACGATGCAGGCTGCAGTTCTGTACCTACTTACATGGGGGGCAGCCCCACTGAGCTCAGTGGAGCTTATTGTTGAGCAGATATGTATAGGATTGTGCTGCAAATATCCTGTTGAAACGACTCTCCATTATGCGGATCATACCTGCAATTTACTTTTTAAAAGTCCCTCACACAGCTGTGAATTGTGTGAGTGCTGGCTTGTCTCGTTCAAGACTTAATTTTGTCATTTAGTCATGTGCTTTGATAATTATCCATGGGATAAAATCCATGCCCACCCGAATGCACAAACTGTAAATCAGAAATTGATCTGTGCTTTGATCACAGGAGTAATGCTAGAGAGGACACAAGCAGAGGAACAGGAATGTGGAGGGAGCAGACCACCCCCGGCACCACTATTCTGACACGGTGCCATTGTGATGCCCCCCCGGACACGTGCCGCACCCCCCCAGACGCCGCTCCCCTACAGGCAGTGCATCAGGCCCCTGGGATGTGCACCATGCTCCCGGGGGCATCATCTATGCCCCCGCCTGCTCTCTGCCCCCGGTAGCGGAGCATGCAGCTTGGTCACTGCACAAGCCCCACCCACTAAATTTTCCTACTTGAATCATGCCCTGCTCCGACCTAAAAACTGCAACTCAGATGGCTAACACACACACACACACACACAAACACACACACACGCACACACAAACCCCATTGCTTCCCACATAATGTGAGCAACTGGGATTGATGCAATGCATTCTTCCAAGACAGTAGGCAATGCTTTGGCTGTGTATCATTCCTGCCGTGTTCAAGCTGCTGAACGCAGTTACTTACACAGCCAATCAACTTACACACAGGAGAGGACTATCAGCAGGGTCAAGAGACCTCCAAGGTCCACAGGAGTACGCATCATATTTAATGTGTGTGGGGTGTGTGGGGGTATGTGGATGATTCTTAAAAAAGGGGAAACTCAGTTATTCAATAAGCTGAGTGTAATGAACTGAGATTTTTTTTAAAAGTGGGGGAATGGAATGGAGAGGCTGGGGTTCTAAACAATAGTCCACCACGCTGCAACATTTTGTTGTAAGTCTCACTGGTAACGACTACAGCAGCCTGTATCAGCAGTGGGGAATTCTTGACCTTCCAGATGTTGATGGACTACATCTCCCATGGTTGGAGCTGGTGAGAGTTGGAATCCAACAGCTCTAGGTCTCCTTGGGAATTTGTGAACTCCTTCCTTGGAGGTTTTTAAGCAGAGGTTGGATGGCCACCTGTCATGGATGCTTTAGCTGAGATTCCTGCATTGCAGGGAGTTGGACTAAAAGACACTTGGGGTCCCTTATAAGTCTACAGTTCTATGATTCTATGAGCATCTGGAGCACCACAGGCCCCACTTCGCTGTCATTGCATGTCTTTCCATTAAAAAAAACCCCACCATTGTTCTGCCTCATGCGTTTGGCTGAGGCTGTAGGGCGATCTGCATGATCACAAGATGGGGGCCTGCTGC